TTGGTGGGAAAGGCCAACCTTGTGTGGGACAACAATATGAGTTTAACATCACCACCGTTCAAAGTTGTCGGTCTCTAATCTCTATTTCTCAGTATACTTTGCAAGAATGTCTTTCTCTGTCCCTTAAATAATCAAGTTCCTTGGAATTCTTTCCTTAGCTGTCTTTTCGTCTTTGCATGTAATGATAACCCTCAACAAATTTTAACTATCAATTGTCCGCTGATAATAGCCCATTCAACGCTCATTGAATAAATAGTTACCAAATATCCTCCAGATTATAAATCCTATATTCTGTGTTAATGGTACAAAATTACTTAACAAAGGCTTGTCCAAAAAAAAAAAAGTCAAGTGGGATAAACAGCCAGATTAATACAATTTATAGTGCATGTGGTAAGCACTGTGATGGAGATGTGTATAGGTTATTGTGGGATGTTTAAACTTGCTCAGAGAAATAAGTGCCTCCTTTCTCAGATGACGAGTTCTAAAGAAGGACGAGGTTATATATGCGAGGGAAAACTTCTAGGTAGAAAGAACATAAAAGAAAATTTCTTGAGAACCAGGCACAACAATATTGCTTGTAAGTTCAAGTCTGGAAGGTGTGATTTAAGTCTAGAAGGTACTGAAAGTTAGTAGAGTGTGGGAAACCTTAAATTCCATGTAAATAACATTAGCATTTATTCCCTAAGTAATAGGGAGTTGCTAAAAGATTGAAGTACAGCAATTCTGTGATTAGAATGCATTGTAACTGCAAGACTCTCACATTGTGGGAATGGTGACTATAAATGCATAGACAGTAGACAGGAAAACTCAAATTATAGACACAGCAATGAAGTGGAGATACTGAGCTATAATGTAAAGCCCCATAAACCAGAGCATGGAACACAGCATTTCTTTTTGTACCACTATGAGACAATAAAACCTCTGCTAATCAAACTATAACAATATATTGATTGTTGTTTGCTGCAACATATCCTGACTTCAGAGATGTTGAAATGTAAAATCTGCATCTGTCGTTGATTAAATACAGAACTTAAAAAAGATTTTAAGAGGAAAAGAGAATGAAAGAAGTCAAGATTCAGGCTTATAGCAAAAGTGATAGAATGGAAATTGATCCAGGCAGATAAGGCAGAAAATATAGGATCTGAGCTCATTTAGCATTTAAAAAAACGGTTTCATATTGGACTGGTCTAGAGATAGAGACATGGAATTTATCCACAGATAAGTAGGGTATGCTTGAAATATGATAGAGGATGTAATCTTACAGGAAATGACATAATGCTTTATAGCAATTATATAAGGACCAAACTAAATGAGATACAGGGAAAGAAAAAGGGGAACAAGAAGAATCAAGTGTAGTATCATGAAAGATAAAAGTAAAGTTTTAAGAGAGAACATGATCATTAATATTCACTGAAAAATGTTATCAGGGAAGACAAAAGACTGAATTGTTTATTGGGTTTGATAATGAGTGACCTGAACAAAAATAGTCTGCAGAATGATGGGGGCAGATGCAAGGTTGCAGGAATTGAAGGATGAATGAAGCATGAGCTAAGTATGCGTGACAGAGAGAAAGTAGAATTTGCCAGAAGATGCATGATGAAGGAAAATAGTTTTAGGGAAAGAGAATTGAGAAAGTGTTTAGGCTAAGGGAAAGGAACCACTAGAAGGAAAGAAAGGCTAAGAGAGGAGGAGAAAGAAACATCTGCAGAAAATGGATGAATGGTTCAGATAAATGATTCCCAAGTAGCTTTAATTTTCACCCTAATCTAGGAGTAAGGTCAACTATTGTCATTGGGAAAGACTTCTAGTTATCATAAGTGAAAAGCATTTTCTACTTAAACAGCTTTTTATTATCCAGGTAATGGTTTACAACACTGTATATGATTTAGGGGACTAGGTTCATACCTCCTCAGATGTCTATCACCACCCCACCTCAAAACACTGTAGTCTTTACCATGGACTTATTGTTCCTATTCCAGTCCTCATCCCCTATTAGTAACTTCAATTCTGCAGTCAGAATTCTAGGATTTGTTTTGGTTTAATTTTGTCGGTTCTTTTGTGTTATTTCTCCGTATTCTACATATGACTGGAATCATCTACTTTGCTCTTTTTCCTTTCGACTTATTTCATTTAGCATAATCCCCTCCAGTTCCCTCCACATTGTCTCATATGACAAGAATTTTTCTCATGTTTATATATAAGGTTAAATTAGCCAAACTCCAAATATCAAATACATAGCAAAGATAAAGGAACTACTCTGATAGCGCTGCATCAGGCCAATGTGCATTTTTGCTTTCTGAATGGTGGATTTTGTTATGTTTACAACTTACATAAGTCAAATGTGCTACCAAACCACCAGCTAGAACAACAACCAAGGCTGGTGACTGAAGTGGTAGTAAGAAATAAGTGGTAGGCATATCAAAAACAAAAAACAAAACAACAAAACAACAACAACAAATGTTGGTAAGGATGTGGTGAAAAAGGAACTCTCCTAAATTGCTGGTGGGAGTGCAGACTGGTCCAACCACTATAGAAAGCTGTCTGGAGGTCCCTCAGTCTACTAAAAATGGAGCTACCATAAGACCCAGCCATTCCACTCCTAGGGATCTAACCAAAGGACACAAGGACATTGATTTAAAAGAACACCTGTACCCCTGTTTATTGCAGCACTATTTATAATAGGTAAAATCTGGAAACAACCCTAATGCCCAAAAATAGGTGACTGAATCAAGAAGATGTGGTATATATACAGCAATCAAATAGTATATTACTATTCAGCACTCAATAAAGAGAAACTCATGCAATTCACTGTAACATGGATGGAGCTAGAAAGAATTATACTCAGTGAAATAAGTCAGAAGGAAAAAAGAAAAATATCAGATGGTTTCACTTACAGGAGGGAAATAGGGTAACCAAGTAAGTCATCAGGGGAAAAATAATACAAAACACAGCACAACAAAACAAAAACAAACAGACAATTATAAACCAGAGACATCCTGCAGGGGAGGAGGAGGGAGAGGGATCAGAGGGAGGGAGGGAGGAGCACAGGGGACTGTGGTGATGGTGCACAGGTGAAGGAAATTCTTTATTTTTTCACATTTATCATTTTTTAATTTTTTTAGAGAATATTTTCTTCCTCCCACCCCCTCAGATTGAGTCCCCATAGAATTTCTTTCCCCAAGGCACCCATGCACCATCAGCACAGGACTACACCTGGGGAAGCGGGGAGCAAACATTGTTTAAGAATGAACAATGATGTAAAAAGTATATATAAATTAAAAAAATGGAAAACAAGTGCTAGGAAGAAAAAAATGATAGAATGGTGGAGGACATTGAAAATGACTCATAACTTTTAATTCTTTTCATGTTGCATTTTACTACACAGAGTTTCAGATAAGATAATGCAAAGAATACAATTATTTGACTTCCAGAGAGCACTGAGAAATGTTCAGCTGTCTACTGGAGCAATAATGGGGACTTTTAAAATTGCAAAAAGTCAGCTTGATCTTTTGACTTTCTATTATGAGATATGAGTAATCAGAGTTATTCACAAATTCCAAGAATAAAATGATAAAATGAATTTCTTAAATATAGTTAAAAATATTCTGATTTAAATGTCTTAATTACCCATAGAAATTTGCTAGAAATGGAATTCTCTTGAAATCTTCAAGACAGATATCCACTCTGATATTCTCTCATGTGCTGAGAAGTAAATTCTTATTTTATATCAGATAGTAAAGTTTACATCATCAGCAAAAACAATTTTAAGTAAATAGCTACTGAATATCAGTGAACACATTCATAGTTTATTGCATATAAATTGTTCATTAAAAGTGATGGTTTTCCTACATGTTTTGATAATTTATAATCACTTTTATTATTAAACTTAACATTTTATGTGCAATAAGAATATTTTGGAATAGTCTTCAACATTAAAATGTTTTATAAACAACAACTAAATATTAATTGCAACAATAGCTACCTAAGAAAGATAAAGACTTTTTTTCTACATGTAATAATGACTGGGTTAGAAAGTATCTAAATGGTTAGAGATATTGGTTAAAGGACCATGCTTGAGAAGTTGCATTATTTAATCTATTGAAGTTGACAGCTGTGTATTACATGAATGTATAGTTATGGACTTTTGAACACTTATTATTTGCTTACTAGTCTATAATGGCTTTGAATGGTCCCCTATGTAAGTATATATTTAGTCATTTAAAAAATGCATATTATTATTTGGTAGACTTTTTATCAAAGCATGATAAGAGAGCTGTTCACGTTTTCTCAGTACTATTCTGAGGCCTTGGCAGGTATTCACAAGTGAGTCTCAAGCATGTTATTTACTAGTATGAGGTTTGAGAATTTGTGTGTTTACAAAATATGCACTGCTGACCCAGTATAAACTCTACTGAAGTTTTTTAGATTGTTTCACCTAGGAAATCAAAAAGTGTGATTCCTATTTTATTCAACCCTCTCTTTACCTTTGACCTTGCCCTAAACAATCTTCTTGGAAAAAAAGTCTAATCTTGACAGCAGTCAATTACTTAATTGCCACCTCATTTCCTGCCTTCCCTTTAACTCTGATCTCAGAGAGATGTGTACACCTGTAACACTGGCATACTGTTTCCCAGTTCACAGTTTCTCTCTTCTGAAGTCCAGTCTTTCAAGCTCTAACGACAGAGTCCCTATCGCCATATATCTTTTCAGTTTCTAAGCTGGTTTTATAAGACTAAATATGCCTACCTAACAGTCTCCCCTTCTATTTAACTTATTTTTCCTTTGTTTTTTATTAGAATCCACAGTCTCTATATCAGACCGTAAAAATCCCCCAAAATTTCTATTAGCTTATTTGCACTAATAACTTGGTTTCATTAAAGAAATGAAAAAAAAAAATAATGTCATCAGTTTGCAAGTGCACCTAATATAGAATTTAGAGTTGTTCATAACTTCACAAATCATCTAATGAGGTCTTTTCATTTCACAGATAAGGAAAGCTAAGGAAAGCAAAATCAAGTGGCCTTAACCCTACTATTGGTAAGTGACTTACTAAGACTAAAATCCAATAAGACTTAGTAAAGAAGTATAACTTCACTGTTATCTTGTATGTGGTTATTTTAATATAAAACTTTGGATATGGATTATTTTCATAAACTGCTTTGTAGATGATCAAAGATAATTTTGATTGCTAATGACACTTCCACATCCTTTCTTGTGATTGGATTCCTGCTCTCTCCCACCCCACAACACACTTAAATTTTCATTGTCCTTTATAGCACGAGTTAAAAAACAATAAAATCCAAGGTATATTAAGGAACAATGCATAAAATATATTTGGTGAGCCTCTGAAAATGAAAAGCAGCAATAAAAATCAAGTAAAACATTTGGAGATGATGATGAAGGAAATAATGCTTTAGTTAATTCAAGAAGAAATCTTTTGTATTTTCTTTGGGCTCAGATTCTTCTGTCAGTGACTCTTTGATATTTCCATAGCACCTTTGTTGGTGTTTGTTCATGGGCAATCACAAATCTTACCTGTGAGCTGGTCGTGTTTGAAAATAATAGGTTGACCTTTCTTTCCATTCTCTGTCATGAATCACAAAATCTTTGTATTTTTTATATGAATTTCTGTTTCTAGGAGTTAAACCAACATTTAAGAGATTGGAGATTGTACACACCCACACCCACACATACACTGAGAGAGATGGAGATAAAGATTGGGAGGGACAAGCTGACTTGATTGATTCCCAGAATAGGCTATTTTGCACATACATGGCCTATAACAGGACAAATTAATATGTAATATTAAACAAAATCTTAAATTACATTATTATTAGCTATGCCACCAAACTTACTTTTCACTTATTTTCTATTAATTTTAATATCTAACAATATATAATTTAGAATCAAATTTTACGTTTAACATCTCCACAAATTAATATTGCTACACAAAATAAGCAGCATAGTAATTTAAATTTGTGTTGCTTCCTCATACAAAACCATAAAAAAAACAGCATTTACTAAATGCAGTGGAAATGCATGATTGGTGTGCTCAAGTAAAAGTTTTGGAATTTAAGAAGCACTTAGTTGCTGCATTAGGCCATTTAGGATGTTTCAGCGTCTCAATTGACTGTAATTCCAATCTGCTCAAGTGCCCTGTTAATGACCTTCCATCTCCAAGTAAGCAGAGGAATTCAATGTTTATACTTAAAAAAAAAAAATCTCTACCACAAACAGATTGAAGGACAGGTTCTTTTCATTCCATCTTTACTATGGCAGGAGAGAGTAAAGTGTTGCCACTACATCAATTGAGAGAGACTAACCTTCAGTGACTCTTAATGAAAGCCCTCATTGAAAAAACAAAATCAACGAATGCAGGTATAAGAAAGCCACTTAAGTGTTTTCCATTTCTTATTGTCTAACACGGAGTAATTATATTTGTAAAGTCTAAACAAGCAGTGAAATTTACCCACATTTACACTTTAACTTTGGTGACATGTAGTAAACAGATAGGTCTCTGGGCTTCCTGTAGAAATGTCACACCAATATGTAAATATATTCCTATTTCTGTGCAGAGTGAAAAAATCCTAACATCTGGGGATACTCTTTCAGTCCCCCACACCTAAAATAATTTCAAAACCCAAATAATGCTAATATCTATTAGAAGTGGTATCAGAGTAAGAAAGCAGGAAAACTTGTTTCAGCTCTTACTAAGATAGTGGAAAAAGGCTAGACTATTAAAATCTCATGTAAGTCTTTGTGTTTCAGAGACAAGTTGTGATATTGCATTTAAATATATATATTGCATTTAAATATATTAGCCTTATATGTTAAGCTTAAGTCATCTGATGTCACCTTTCTTTATACACAGGCATTTCATATATCCTAATATATTTATTCTCAAATGATTTGCTTCCGGCAGTGTAGAATATGTTCCATCTAACTTAGAAAAAAGTATTTCACTTTATTTTGTACAAAGTAATTTTGTATTCAAAGAAGCAAAAACCCTTGTAGCAAAACATCAGTAATAATGACAAAGTCCCACATTGTCTTAAGAAAATATCTATTCCTTAACAAAGCATGTGGAAAAAAAGAGAAATGAAAATGTCAAAGAAAACATAAAATTCTTTATTTTTCTATTACAGTATTTATATATGGATTTAAACACTGGTATATTGAAATGTCTTTATAGTATAAATATTGCTTTGACTGTAACTCAAAATTATCATGTCACAGCCATTCTCTCTATTCATTTTCCACTAAGGAGGGAAAGCAAGAGGAAAGAAAGAAGCTAAGGAAGGAAGGGAGGGTGGAAGGAAGAGAAGGAGAGAAAAAAGAGAAAGGAAGGAAGGTACAGGGAGGGGAAGGAAAAAGATCCTTGGAGAGAAGACTAGATGAGAGCAATAAATTATCTAAACCGAATTATCAGAGCAGAAGAGGTTCACTAACTCAGAGTTTTCATTGCCCTGAACATATAAAAATATATCTTAAAAAGTACAAAACAATGAAAAACTTGTCACATGAGGTTTTACAACAAATGAATGCTACTTTAAGAACAAAAATAAGAGCAGTATGTGTTAATCGTGTGACTGGATAAGGGTGAAGTTTTGGTGCAGAGAACACTGGGAAGGAGAAATGAAGCAAAGCAGTGTCAGATCTAACTAGGGGATTAGATTTATAGCAGAAATACTAAAAAATACCTTGCATGTGAGGTTTCTGGGGTGTAGATTTTATCTTCCAAGTCATGGGGAGCCAAGGTGATTTTTCAAACTGAAGAGTTATTCTTGGCTTTGATCCTTCTGTCTGAAATGCCCCCAGTAAATAAATGTCATGAAGAGAGTGTCTGTGGTCTAATAAGTTTAATGAATATTTTTTAGGAAGTGGGTATTTTGATAGTCAATGTGAGATTTTCAATAGAATTGGAAGAAGAAAAGGAAATATATCTTAGTAGGGAAAGTGGCTTATACAAAATTTGATAAAAGTGGGCACATTTGCATTCAAGCAGGTAAAACCAGAGGTGACTTGAGTGTTGTGGTCACACTCTAAAATGTAATGGATAAAACACAAACTGTGGAGGTAGTGAGATTTACAGTATGTCTGCACTAACATATGTTCTAGCTGAAGAATCTTGAGTGTCATATTAGTTGATTTGAGATGCATGCAACAGAAACTTTCTTGACTTATTTATGCAAAAGAGATAGAAAAGGAGTAAAGAGGGAGAGGAAGAAGTTATGAATATGGGACGAAAGAGAGAGAGAGAGAAGGGAAAACAAGGAAGAAATTCATACAAGAATGTCTAGTAGCTAAGTGAAATTGAATTTTTCTCCAGTAGCAGAAACCTGGAATCACTGGTGGCTTTGTAGCATGAACTAATAAGCATTCTTTTCATATGCTGCCATTTTTTTTTAATTTTTTTTTAAAGAGGCACGTATTTTATTCATTTATTTGTTTGTTTGTTTGTTTATACAAGCACTGGGTACAGTCAGAAATGCGGGAGGGTGAGAGAATTCACCAGAGCCAGAGCAGGGAGCAGAGCAGGCAGAAGGACCCAAGTACACTGCTGAGGGGAGCAGCGGGCGGCAGGAGAGGTCTGCGCACCATGTGGGACCCTCCTCCGGTGGCCGGGGAGCAGCCGGGGATCGAACCAGCACCGCAGAGGCCGCGGGCAGCTTCGCAACCCAGCGCTCAACCGCTGCGCCACCAGGGAGGCCCTATGCTGCCATTTTTAATCTCTTTATTATTACTCTTAAAATTTGTAACCAGGAAGAGTATCCAATAAGTCTTGCCTAATCCTTTGGCTGAAGTGAAATCTTCTAGGCTATGAAACTGGAATGTAATTACCAGAACATGAGGGAATGAATACTGGATGATAAAACTAGTAAATGTCTACAAAACAACTTATCTTTGACCATAAATGTATCAGTAGCATCTTTTCACATCACAGTTCTTCTCTAACTGCATTTATTTGATTGTATAATATTTTGTTGTGTGGGTATACCATTATATATATAAATAATCTTCTTCTGTGTCACAATTACATCATTTCCCATTTTAATTTGTATAATTTATATAAAAAATGTTATAAGTTGCATATACCTATGATATTTATCATCTACTTTCCCCATAAAAAATATCCTGAGAAATGAAATTACTGGATTATATTTATTTTGCCATTTTAAGGCTTTTGATATATATTACCTAGTTTCATTCAGAAAAGTTTTGTCAAGTTAGTCTTCTGTCAACAATATATGAGTGACCATTTCCTTATACTATTGTCAATACTTTGTATTAAGATTTTTAAAATAGTCTTTGACAACTTGATAGGTGTAAATGGCATGCCTTTTTTGATTTGCATTTCTTTGATAACTAGTGATTTTAAACATTTTATACTTGTTAGTCATTTTTCCTTTCATTTTGTGCATTTCCTGTTTGTGTCTAGACATTTTTTATTGGAGTATATATTAATTTTGGTTTCAGATGTGTAGACTTAGAAATAAAAACAAGATGATAGAAAGGTAGGAACTAATAAGTAGGTGGCCATTTTCTCGTGAACTTATAAGAGGGGACAAAAAAGAAATGCAAATTTTATTTTAGCATACAGCAGTTTAGGTAAGGCCGAGAGCAAATATTTTCTTACGTGCATTAAAAAAAAAGACCAGGACCTCCCTGGTGGCGCAAGGGTAAGATGCAGCCTGTGAAGCTGTCCGCAGCCTCTTACGGCACGGCACGAGTTAGATCCCTGGCCTGCCAGGGAGCAACCCAGATTGTGTAGCAAACCTCTCCTGACTTGCCTGCTGCTGCCCTCAGATCTAACCTGTACTTAGGTAGATCTGACTGTTCTGTTCTCTGCTCTGTCTCTGGTGAATCCTCTCACCGCCCCCACACCTCTGGCCTGTACCCCAGCTCTTGTATGCATAATAAATAAATCTTTTACAAAAAAGAAGACCAAAGGGTTAAAGACTTATTTTGGGGCAACATCCACAGTCTTGAGTATAAAATGTTATCAGGAGAACTTGAAGAGGTAGAGGGAATGAGGG